TTTTAGTAGAGACGGGGTCTCGCTCTTGCTCAGGCTGGTTTAGAACTCCTGAGCTCAAACAATCCGCCCGCCTCGGCCTCCCAGAGAGCTAGGATTACAGGCAGGAGCCATCGCGCCCGCCATGAGGCAATCTTAATAACAAAAACATTTAGGTGTTTGGAGAGTAACTGACGAGGGACACTGGTGAGATTAAATAAATGTACTACTACAAAGATGAGTGCAACTGCACCAGGCAGATACAGGTCTATGAATGTAGGAATGAAAAGGGATAAGGCCTTGAGACAGTGGCACCTCCTGGGGTAAACCTAGACAGGGTGTGCCAAAGGACACACCTGATTCCTAGTGGCAAATATGAAGGCAGCTTCCTATTTGTATGACTTCTTTAAAAATTGTAATGCAAGGTGGTGCATAAGGAAAGAACTATGTTTAGGAAAAAGGAAGCATAAATTGGTAGCCAAAGAGGATTCCCTAGAGGCCAGGGAGAAATGTTGTTGGGTATGTTCCCTCCCTATCTGGTGATCTTCAAAGCTTCCCTGGTCTTATGGAGCAGAGGAACAGCTGGTATATTCTCCATCTTTCCATAAATGAAATCTGTTTTTTTCAATGGCCACGCTGTAACAATGAAGAATATCAGGCACAGTTTTAGGGTCCTCTGGTGAATGGAAATGAGATTTCACATGTGCTAAATTATTCTATATTTTCTATCTATTGGCAATTCTACAAGCAAGTGTATTTACCTTTGAAGTCTGGTCTTTACTGCCATCATCAACTACTATCACCTCGTAAGTGAACGTAGGATCTTGTTTCTGCAAGAAGCAAAAATAACGTAACAACAGAATTTGGCATAACTGCCATCAAGAATTCTAATAAAACTATATGTAATTTAAAAAACAATTTAGCGTTGATATGTATAAATTTGAATATAAATATTACTGCACAAACCACATAAAATAAAAAGCAAAGAACAAAAAAGGAAAGATACTGAGTAGGGGCAAGGGTGAATACTGACTAGATCTCTCTGCTACCCTTCCCCCATCCACCCCGTACAACATCGGTAGAACAAGCCGGGTACTTGTGGTGCCCCAGCACATCTGTGACAGGCTACAAGTGTACGAGGAAAAAGAGAGTGAGATTTGAAGTCAGAGAGACTTCAACTTGGCTGCAGCACTTCTTACCCTGATGACCTTGGGCACCTTAACTTTTTTGGCCCGTTTTCTTATTTAAAAAAAAGAACAGAACAACCTGGTCCATGTGGCTGGTGGAAGATTAGTTGTAATTGAAGAAGCAGCCTTACACATAATGAAGGCTCAGTTCCCTTCCTCTTTTCTTTAAATTTAATTTTTGGAGTAGGTAATATGGCCCCTATTCTTTCAATGAATCATCAAAACAAAGAAATTTTTTTAAAAAAAGAACCAGCTATAAAAACTCACTTAATTTTTAACCTCTCCAAGGAGATTCCAATGGCAGCTGATGTTATAAAAGAGGGTTGTATGTCACTTTTCTTCTCTTTACATATGGAAAAGAAGAGGAGACTATGTGAGGGGGGAATCTTGAGAATAATAAAGAAATATAAAAAATAATTTCAACTTAAGTCTTTAAAAAATATAGCTTTCTTAAAAGTCACAAAAGTAAAAACAGCATTGTGCCATTATATGAATAGAAAGTCTGCTGATATACACTGTCACTCAATTTTAAATATATCATCAGGAAAGAGAGGATAAAAAGTATGTAGGAGGGAACAGAAATTTCGGCCTTCTGGTTTGTCCTGGGGTGACCCACCTGCCCCAGCGGTAGTGTGCTATGTGCTGGGCTTGCCCGCCAGCAACGAGCCGAGCAGTGGGCGGCCCAGCCATCAGGGCAGGGCCAGTACTGCCTCTCACAGTGCATCTAGCTTGGGGTCCACAAGTTGATGACCTGATCTAGTTTTAACTGGAGCATCATTTTAAAAGAAAAAACATGATACCTGTCTCTTCTCTAGATAGCCCAGAGCTTCATCCATCATCACAGGCACTTAAAGAAAAAAAATACATTAAACATTGCTTTTGAAAATTATTTTCCAAGCCCAGCACACTCAGTTTGAATGTGGAAAAAGTCCCAGTAATCTAATAAGCCCCTCTGGGACTTTCCCCCATGACCATTCCCATCTGGAATGCCTGTCTGCTGCTCACATTTTGCTCGTCACTTCTCTGGAACACTTCGGGCTCACTGCCTCAGGATGCTGTCCTGTTCATGCAGAGAATATTCACGTCCCCTCTTCTGAACCACGACAACTACCAACTATACCCTCACCACAGCCCACATCTATTAATGTTCTGGCAAAGACAGTGAAGTCAAATACCTTAAATTTCTTTTTCTTCTCAAATCATCCCTTACCAAAAAAATTAAATAGGGCTTACACCGTTTTTCTTCATTATATGAAGGCACAACAACAGAAAGTTGTTTGGTAGGTGAGTCCCATATGCTGGGTAAAGTTTCCTTCTGGCCTTTGGCATTTAAGAAGAACTTCTCTTCTTCATGTCGATGAAGTGATGGCATTTTTGTAGCAGTTACAAATGCAACAACGAAAATCTAAAAGCAGGCAGACATAAAAAAGAGAAATTATGTTATGCTGACTTTTTTAATATTTGTTAGACTACATCATCTACATGATTATTTTTTTCATGGAATACTGTTTTCCATTCATAAAAAATAGTCTGGAGGTGACTCCAAAATTAGACAGTCAGTCCCCTCATTATTCCCCTACTCATGATGACTGTCCTTTTTCTCCAATAATACAGAGCTAATGCCTTAGGAGGCTCTTAGTTTCTTCCCGTCTGTCATTCCCCAGGTCTCATCCCAGATGTAACAGGGAACAGTCACTACAGGAAGTCCAGTCTACCTAGATGCCCTGAAACCCCGATCCCTAGCACACATGCACTCGTGCACACACACAGTTGGCTGCCGCCCCTACTTGGAGCCTACACATGACAGACGACAAGTTCATATTATAGTCGGAATGTATGGGGTGAGGACAGACTTCCCATCCAGGACCTGACAGACCCAGAATATGAAGGGAAGATTCCCCTGACCCCCAGAGTAGGAACCAGTAATGCTTAATGTTTTTGATACTTATTCCAAATACAAATTTGGGAAATAGTACTTTCTGGAGTAAAGTATCAAAACTTGTAGGCTCCCTTCCATATGCTCTGGGAGGTAGCTTTGGAAATAACCATTCTTTGTAACATAGTTTCTGTTGGTACATTTTCTGCTTTCAAAACAATCTACATATTTTTGGAATGTTACTCATTTGGAATTCGATGACTATTTATATTTAATAATATTCTATTGGATACAAACAGAAACTAAATATGCTTCTGATTAGTATGAACACAGAGACAGTACCCAGAACAGTAGTTCATGCTCTGTATCCTGGTGTACAGACTGTGATTTCTAAATTCAATTTCTCACTAAACGCAACCAGTGTTCTAAGAGGATGACTGAATCAGATCTGGGTCAGGAAATGTAAAATGGTCGAATAGCATGTCATACATACCCAAAAGTGAAAACGCTAATAATGATTATAAGGGCTGTGTCAAAAAGACAAAGTAGTCAACTTGAAGGGACTCCCACTGGCCCATGATGGGAAGATTTGAGCAGCAAAAAGAATAATTATTGTGATGGATCAAAA